TTCACCATTTGGGGCCAGTTGGTCAGCGCAGACTTTTAGACAGGCAGGTGAAACACTGTCTGGGCCTGAAGGTTTCCTAGAAGCTTTCCTTCTGTCTTCTGAAGACCCTGTTCACATCCTCAACACAGACCTTAAGCGCAGGTTGAATGGTGAGGGAGGCAGGAAGGGGGGTTGCAGGGGGGGGTGGGGGAATGTGTGCAGTGCAGATCAGAACAGGTGTAGGGTGAGAGACTGGGCTTTTAGAATATTCTGTAAGCATCGTCTTTGGCATGACAAAGCTGTTTGAGTTTTGCAGTAAACCATGGTTTATCATTATTGAATGATAAGAATGACCTGGTGGGGATGCACATATCCTCACAGAAACTGATATATGAAGTTACAGTCTCTGTGAGCTCGTCCAGATCGGTGGCTGCGGCGCCATCTTGATCGAGATCCTGTTATCGGCTCTAGACTGTCATTAAAACTGACATATCTGTTTACAGCTTAAATACACATACAGTTCAATCTTCTGGATACTGATTTGATGTAATTTGTGTGCTTAACTCAAAATTCTGTTTACTTTATCACTTTGATCCAGGACATGTCCCCCTCCAACTGTACAGCCAAAGTGCCCCCTCAATGTATGATATTCTTCATGCTGCTCTGCTGAACTTCATAATGCACCCATTAGTTTGTTTGGATGACAAAATGTTTAAAAAGTTCATTTTTTAAAGGCTGGTCTGCCTCAGCTGTCTAATGGCCATCCCAATCATTGTGACCCTGACAGGCAATCAAATAAAACAAGGTTGGAAAGATATTAGATGCATGTTGCATTTTCACATCCATGTTATAAGTGACCCAAACTCACAGCACTTGCATGAGATGGAGTTCATGTGGAGCAGCATTTACTGTGAACCAAGCCGCTCCGAAACACTGTAAACACTGGATCATGAGGCGCTTGCATCATCATTACATTTTGCATGTAAATTTGACTACTACTCTGTTAGTTAAGCGCAGGTTGAAAGCGTATCACAGACATTCCCCACTGCCCAATATTATACTGAGTAACGTACGCTCCTTTCACGAGTACAGAAACTCGCACATGGTGGTGCTAACAGAAACGTGGTTGGATGACTCAGTCACTGACGACTATCTACGGCTCAGTGGATACTCTGGTCCTATATGGCTGGACAGAGATAAAGAGGCTAAGGGGAAAAAGCATGGTGGTGGAGTTTGTGTGTACGTTAAGGAGAGCTGGTCCAACAATGTGATTGTGCGGGACAAAATATGCTCTTCCGAAATTGAATTGCTTGTTCTTTCCGCTCGCCATTTTTATCTACCACGTGAGTTTCCCCAACTTTACTTTCTTGTTGTGTATATTCATCCTCACGCAAAATTGGACATAGCCTCAGATGTGCTGATAAAAACTTTTAACAAACTAGACGTCAAATCTCCGGACTCTCCTAAATTTATTTTAGGTGATTTTAATCAGTGTTATTTGGACAATGTTTTAAAAGGATACCATCAGTATGTCTCATGTGCAACGTGTGCGGACAAGATTTTGGACAGGTGTTATGGTCCAATTCAAGGTGCTTATAAGTCCGTTCCTCTACCTCCACTGGGGTCAGCCGATCATAACACAATTCTTCTGGCTTTGGCATACACGGATGTGCTAAACTAAATTACAAAAACAAAATAGAAAATAACTTTGTTCAAGGTGATATGAGGGCTGTCTGGCATGGGATTAAGAACATGGCAGATATTAGTATACCAAGGCAAGGAACGGTGGTAAATAAGGACGTTGATGGTAATTTATTGGTCAATGACCTGAATTTGTTTTTTACACATTTTGAGAAGCATGATACAAGTGCTGTTCTTTATGATTTTAAACAAAAATTGAGCCCTCTACATCTTTGAATTTGCATCTTTCTAATGTAATGAAGCAGCTGAAAGCTACACCTGTTAACAAAGCGCCTGGTCCAGATGGCATCTGTGGGAGAACACTTAAACACTGTGCAGAGCAGCTCAGTGTTGTGTTTCACTCACTGTTTCAGGCATCCCTGGATCAAGCTGTAGTTCCTTGCTTATGGAAAACGTCTAACATAATACCTATTCCTAAACGAGAGAAGTCACATTCTTTTAACGATTTTCGGCCCATTGCATTAACTCCTTTAGCTATGAAAGCCTTAAAGAGGGAAGTTAAGTCACAACTTATCACAGTTACGGGTCATAAGTTAGATTCTTTACAGTTTGCATATCGCACTAAAAGAGGTGTGGATGATACAAAGCTTTTCCTCCTAAATACCATACATCAGCATTTAGAGAATGGAGGCACATTTGCTAGAATGCTGTTTGTTGATTTTTCCTCTGCGTTCAACACAATGAATCCTATTATTTTAGCAAAGAAGCTTGTATGTGAATTTGATGTGAGTCACGACTTAGTTTTATGGATCTTAGATTTTTTGACATGTAGGCAGCAAAGAGTCATGTTGAATGGAGTGTTGTCGGATATGCTTGTTACGTCAATTGGATCTCTGCGTACTGGCTTCAATTCTCTTTATACTCTATACAAATGAATGTCGCAGCACTAAGGATAACTGTCATGTAGTTAAATATGCTGATGACAGTTTTTCTAACTTTGTTAACGTGCAGAATGTGATGACAGTAATGATCTCAATGAGTTCTTTGAGTGGTGCAAAGAGGCTGAACTACAACTGAATATTACTAAAATGAAAGAGATGGTAATTGATTTTAGAAAAAATGCCTCAAAGGTGAAACCTGTGTATTTTTATGGAAAAGAAGCTGAAAGGATATAGGAGTACAAGTATCTTGGAACTATCTTTGATACTACTTTAAAGTTCCAGCAGAACACTGAGGCCATTATTAAGAATGTGAATCAAAGAATGTACGCTCTTAGGAAATTGAACTCTTTCTGTGAACAAAAAAACATACTGAGAACTTTTTATACTACTTTTATTGAGAGTATCTTGAGTTTTTCTTTTTTATGCTGGTACTCTTCACTCTCTCTTAGGAATAAGAATCGTTTGCAGACCTTAGTTAGGACTTGCTCAAAAATTATTGGTGTGCCTTTGCGGAGTCTAGCAGAATTCTACGAGCAACAAATGTTAAGGAAAACTCATAGTATTACGGGAGATGTTCCCTTTCGATACTTCACTCGTACTGCATCTTGCTTAAGACGCATATGGGAAAAGCCTTTTTTCTCCTGAACTGAAGCCTTTTCATTCACGCAGTGCTTAAAAAATGAACCAATGGCTCGGCAGCGGAGCTGCACGTGCCTATGGCGATGAAGCCCGCCAAAGCCCGCCAGAATGGGCAGAGCATCTGGTTATATCAGCAGGCGCTCGCCACAGGATTCTCAGATTTCTTCTGGGCAGACCCCACGCAGAGACTGCTCTCTCACTGAGATGGAATGCTCACTCGAGCATGAGTCTCGCTCTTCTTCACTCGTGGACCGCCTTCACTGGAGGCAACCCCGCTCTCCCATTTCTCCTCTCTCAGTGAGCCTCGGAGAGAGAAACAGCGGAGTCAGGGAGCTAAGCAACCGGGTCTGAGCAATCGCATGCCGGCACTGTACCCGCGTGCTCGCTCTCCCCGTTGCACTCGGATCCGCCGCAGAAGGGCAGTGAGCTACACGCTTACTGAGACAGAATGTTCACTCGAGCATGAGTTTCGCTCTTCTCCACTCGCAGACTGCCTTCACGGAAAGCAGCCCCGCTCTCCCGTTTCTCCTCCCTCAGTGAGTCTCGGAGAGAGAAACAGCGGAGTCAGGGAGCTAAGCAACCGGGTCTGAGCGATCGCATGCCGGCACTGTACCCGCGTGCTCGCTCTCCCCGTTGCACTCGGATCCGCCGCAGAAGGTCCTCCGCAGAAGGGCAGTGAGCTACACGCTTACTGAGACAGAATGTTCACTTGTTCGCCTGCATATCAGGGTGAGTCAGGCCTGTGTATCGGCCCTGAACCCCTGGAAGAACTCCCGCTGGATGGAACAGGGCGTGGCCATGGGGATGGTTCAAAGAGGGACAGTTGTCACGACAGACGCCTCCAACTCAGGTTGGGGGGCGCTGTGCGAGGGCATACCGACCTTCGGCCACTGGTCGAAGGCAGAAAAAGGCTTCCACATCAGCTGCTTGGAAATACTAGCAGTATGTCGAGCCTGTCAGTTCTTCCTGCCAGTCCTTGAAGGGCACCATGTGCTAATCCGATCGGACAATTGGTGTCCTACATAAATCGCCTGGGAGGCCTCTCCTCGAAGCGCCTCTTCACACTGGTAGAGCCCTTCTTAGAGTGGGCTCAACCCAACCTGTGCTCGCTGAGGGCAGCGCATATATCAGGGAAATTGAACCAGGGAGTGGACATGTTATCAAGGAGCAACGTCCCCTCAGGGGAGTGGACGCTCCATCCGCAGATGGTTCAGAGGATCTGAGAGATCTTTAGCGAGGCCGAGGTGGACCTCTTCGCCTCAGAAGACAACTCTCACTGCCCAATCTATTTCTCAAAGACCAGGGACGCATTGGCCCAAGATTGGCCCAACCTCCCACAGGTAATCAGGTGAGTGAGGGAACAAGAACACAGGGTTCTCCTGGTGGCCTCCCTTTGGATGAACCAGCTGTGGCTATCGGAGCTAACTCAGCTACTGATAGTGGCCCCTTGGCCTCTTCCACTGAGACAGGATCTCCTCTCTCAAGCGAACGGGGTATTATGGCATCCTCAGCCCGACCTATGGGTCCTGCACCTCTGGCCGCTCGACGGGAGCCTTCGTGCCTCCCAGAGCGAGTCTTAAACACAATTTTGGAGGCTAGAGCTCCATCTCCGAGATACCTCTACACCTTAAAGGGGTCGTTTTTCTCTGCTTGGTGTCTAAACCGCGGCAAAGACCCCCTCACTTCCGAATTGGCAGAGGTGTTGTAATTTCTACAAGAGCTGCTGGATAAGGGACGTTCCCTATCCACACTCAAAGTCTATGTGGTGGTTATAGCGGCCTCTCATGCCCCTATTGAGGGTCAATCGGTGGGCAGAAATAGCCTCGCATCCTCTCCCTGGGGCCTCCAATGCCCCATTGGAGTACGGTCCCACTCGACTAGAGGCATCACCTCGTCGTGGGCATGGTCCAGTGGTGTGTCCATTGCGGATATTTGTGAGGCGGCCGGCCGGGCTCCGCTGCCGAGCCATTGGTTCGTTCTTTAAGCACTGCACGAACCAATGGCCGTGCAATTTCACTGCGTGAATGAAAATGCTTCAGTTCAGGAGAAAAAAGTATTTTTCCCATATGCGTCTTAAGCAAGACGCAGTACTCGTTCCCGTATCTCAGGGAACTGAGGTTACGTTAGTAACCGAGTACGACTCTCACCCCTTGAATGTTTACTTTGAAGTATTGCCCTCTGGAAGAAGATTCAGAAGCATTAAATGTTAATCTAATAGATATAAATTCACTTTTGTTCCAGAGGCTATACATTTTTGCAATTCAAAGTTTAGTAAGGTTTTTTTTCTTATTATTATATATGGAATTTATTATGAAGCATGTTGGGTTGTGTTTTTACTTATTTATCTCTTTGTATTGGCTAGGTGATATCTTATGTTTGTATTAAGTTGTTATATGATGCTACTACCCTACTTTAATTGCCCCTTGTGGGATTAATAAAGTTGTTAACTTAACTTAAAATGAACATAATGTTGCACTGTATGTTCATAAAATTACATCACAAGCTTTACAATTTGATAATCACATTAAGCATTTTTATTTATTTGATCAAAAACCATTTACCTCAGTATCTCCAGCTGACAGTTTGGACACTTCAGTCCATCAGAAAGCAGCTTCACTCCTGAATCCTGCAGGTCATTGTTACTCTGGTCCAGTTCTCTCAGGACAGAGTTTGAGGATTGTAGAGCTGAAGACAAACTCTCACAGGACTGAGCAGTGAGATTACATATGGAAAGTCTGCAAAAGAAAAACAAAGTAATTGGATACAAAATAAATCTTAGCAGTGTGATTTTTAGTAATTAATGTAATACAAAAAATAAATCAAGTATTTGAAACTCAAACCTCAGTATGTTCAGTCGACAGTGTGAACTCTTCAGTCCATCAGAAAGAAGCTTCACTCCAGAATCCTGCAGGTCATTGTTACTCAGATCCAGCTCTCTCAAAACAGAGTTTGAGGATTGTAGAGCTGATGACAAACTCTCACAGAACTGAGCAGTGTGATTACACCCACATACCCTGTGTGGAGAACAAAACAAACAGCAATATGAATGTGTATATCTGGTAGGGTTTATGATCTGGAGCACAGATGACTTGTAAAAACCTTTCACTGTAGTGAAACAGTTGAAGTAAATTCAGTAATCAATTAATAGATCTAATGGTTTTAGCTTGTAACGGTCTAAACGTTACCTGGTTTATATTATTGTAATTTTCACTGGCTATTACCTAAAAAGAGGTATCTGGTTCAAGTGTAATACCACTAGGAGCAGCTTGAGGGCACTAGTGCACAGTGGTTAGCGGATATAAGCCTGGTCACCGACGAGCAAATCAGTTCGTTTGGTAGAGGGAAACCGCATGGTTGAACTAACGCTACCTGCCTACTCATTTTAAGTCCTGTTTTGAGAACTAGTAGAGTTTACGCTCAAATGTGAGTATTGGCTGACTGTACTAATGACTTGGTGTATTTATAATGAATAATGACTGATGTTAGTTGTTTGCTTTCTTTTGTAGAAAAGAAATCGGTGTTAGTGAGCACTTCTCCTTTGCCGAGATAATCCATCCACCTCACAGGTGTGGCATATCAAGATGCTGATTAGACAGCATGATTATTGCACAGGTGTGCCTTAGGCTCACATTTTAGAGTGGCCTTTTATTGTGGGCAGCTTAAGGCACACCTGTGCAATAATCATGTTGTCTAATCAGCATCTTGATATGCCACACCTGTGAGGTGGATGGATTGTCTCGGCAAACGAGAAGTGCTCACTAACACAGATTTAGACAGATTTGTGAACAATATTTGAGAGAAATAGGCCTTTTGTGTACATAGAAAAAGTCTTAGATCTTTGAGTTCAGCTCATGAAAAATGGGGGAAAAAACAAAAGTGTTGCATTTATAATTTTGTTCAGTGTATATATCATTATTGTACCATACTACTCTTGTTGTTTTACTGTGTTTGTTATATGAGCACCGTTTGGATTCACTGCATGTCTCCAGGACGCGAGAGGTGGGGATCCGGGTATTGCGTGGCCTTATTCAACGCGGTGTTAAGGCCAGCGAGTCACCAAACGCCATTGACTATTTTCACCTCTCACTCATTTGGATTATATCATTGCATCGCTCTCAAATAACCTTGTGGATTTATACTCGTCTCATCACCATCATCATTTCAGCTCATCTAAAGTCTGGACATTCACGCTAAGTTTCATTTATTATATTGACTTATTTGCACAGAGACAAAGACTGCTTGTTTGTTTATATTGTTTATTTTTGTGGCAATTATTGATATATATATATATATATGCACTTGTGGAAATAAAATAGGGGAAAAAAGAATATTTGTTTGGAGAAGTGGTTTTATCTTTCAGTAACGGTCGAATTTCTGTTGAACCCCCTCAGAGTAACATCTTAAAAAAGGGAGGTGTTGCAAGCTTTAAGAACGAATTTAAGGCTATAAAAAATTTAAATGGCTTCCTTTAGATTCCTTTAAATGTATGTTTCAGTAATCCAGCTCTTCATAAAACACCTGTCATGGCGAGGCTGGGAGGGAAACGTGGATCCAATTGCAGCAAGTTTGCATTTATTTAAATGAACAAAGCAGATTATTCAAAAGAGTCCAAATACAAAGTAGAATAAAAACACAACAACACAGCAAACATGCATAGACAATAACTGACCATAAACACATAAGATTATAAACAAAGGATGAGGATAAACAAACTAATTAGTTACTATGGAAACAAATGAGATCATACTTAGGAACCAAGGAAACAAAGGACACAGGAAACAAACACAGGAAACTAGAACTCAGATAGGATGAAAAGAACTTCAAAATAACAGTCCCAGAACAGAAACAGAACATCAAGCTGACAACACCAAATTAGGGCAGTTTACCAATATTTTAGGTAGCAGTTTCCTTAACTTATGATACAATTTAAAATAATAAAATAGATAAAACATGAGTACATCACAGTAAACGCCCTGGGGCCCTATCATACACCCGGCGCAATGCGGTACCAGGTGTAACGCAAGTGTTTTTTTGCTAGCTTCAGCTCGATGCAGTTATCATTTTCACATCCTGCGCCATGTTGTTTAAATAGCAAATTGCATTTGCGCCCATTTGTGCGCTCATGGGCGTGCTGGTCCGAAAGCGAGGTGTGTTTAGGCACATTGTTGGCGCGTTGCTATTTTGAGGCAACTGAAACAGACTGCGCCATTGATTGTTTTTGATTGCGCAATATTTTATTTTATTTTTTTTGTTAATTAAAGAGCGTGTTAGTAATATGCGCCTATAGGCGGGTGAACAAAGCACGTACACTCTGCTTATTACACACACAGGGACGCTCAGCAGCACACAAACATGTCAAATATTAAAAATGAAAGGATTACAATGTTGTTGTTAATGGTGTTAAATGACCACTGCTCAGATTACATAATGGCCCTCATTTACGAAACATATATATGGCAGAAAACTGGATGTACAGTCATTTCCACGCAAAACTTGGCATTTATCAATATTAATGTAAGTGGTGGCTTCAATCGTTTTCTTTATTTAACAAAAGCACAATGTTTTATTTTTATTGTCAGTGTACCCAAATAAAAGTAGACCCTTTACCATTTCATTTTAAATAAATTTGTTTTGACTTGACGTTTATAAGGCTTTGTTTATAATGAATGCCAACATAATCATTTAATGCTATAATTTAGCTACTTACATTATTCATTCTTGTTCTACTCTGAATATCGTCATAATGATGGAACTAAAGCCCTAGGTTATATGTTTATAAATGTTTCGGTTTATTTACCGGTATTTTACATAATTTCTGACTATATGCTATATTATTATCTGAATGTAACTTATAGTATGTGACTTGTCTTTTTTTTCTCAAAAACGCAGTTGACTGGTATGTGTAGCGTATTTCTATGAATTACTTTTTTAACTGTTTAAATGATAGTATTAATTGGTCAAAATGCTTACTGTCAATTAACGGTTAACAGTTAATTATGGTAATTTACCCCATATTTCCTCACTTTCTTTCTTCCTGCAACTTGTGTGAATGTGTGAGTGAGTGTGTGTTTATGTGTTTGATTGGTTTATATGTCTTAGATTTGTCTGATAAAGTCTTGTTCATATTGAAAAGATAAGTATCTTGTGTTTTGTTTTCACTATTCTTTGGATATTAATATCCGTTGCAGAGCTGATGTTACACGGCTCGTTCAATTGACCGCTGGCTGATTCAGTTGATCAGCAGTAAAACAATAGTTCTGTCAAAATTCACTATAAATATCATGATTAATTCCCTTTGAGCTAAATTTTTCCTGTTTCCCTTACACTGTAACACTGATGCAGGCTGTGTTTGGAATGGCACACTAACTTACTTGGAGGTACAATGTCAGCGCCAAAGAGCCATTAAAAGTGTCGTGTGTTGGGATGCACCGACGAACATAGGAGTCTCCATTTTCAAAGGATATGTCCTGGAAAAAAAACAGAAAAATCCTATATGTTTGAGTCCAGACTCCAGACACAGTAAGCATCACGCGTCATATTTTGTTTTCCAAAAGAGCTTCTTGGCTCTCTGTAAGGCTAATGTTGCTAAAGCTACCATTGTCTCTGCCTGTTTTCACTAATGCTGCCTTCACGTGCTACCAGAATGATCATAAATAGGAATGCGGTAGTTAAAAATTGCATTTGGAAGCAATGTGAGGTCAGTAACACGGTCACCACCAGTTAAACCATAAAACCGGTATGCCCGCGAGAATGAGCTCTTGAAGCTCCGCACTCTTCTGAAAAGGGAGGCGGGAGCACCAGCTCATTTGCATTTAAAGGGGACAAACACAAAAAACAGCGCGTTTTGGCTCATACCCTAAAAGTGGCAATTTCAACAAGCTATAACAAATTATTCTTATTAATTTTCTTATTTAAGTCTCTTGTCTTCACTCTTTTCTTTGCCAGTGTGTTTTGTTACTTATGCTTCACTAGCACCTTTTGCTTTTATTTTCTTTAAGTCAAGAGTTTTGTTTAATTTTATTTAGTTAATTCTGTTTCTGCCCGGTCTGTCTGCACTTACTGGCCAGCGACTTGCCCTCCTCTCGCTTTGGACTTTGACCTTGTTGTTTGGACTGAACATGGTAATTGACCCTCGCCTGTCCCTGACTTTGATGTGCTACTCTCCTTTGTGCAGCCGCTCGCCTGGTGTTTGATCTCCGCTCTACGGATTATGTGCTGTGGCTTTCTTGGACTTTGTTTGCTGGTCGGACTGCTCTCTCGTTTCCTGGTCCTTGTCTGGATATTGATCATCCTCACCATTGTCCTGCTGATCCGGGGCTTGGCGGCTCGTCTCCAGTTTACCTTCTATAATAAAAGTTTTGTTGGAGCATCTAACTGCATTTGGGTCCTTTATTACAGAGAGTCGTGACACCTATAGGTAACCTTCCCAAAACGTTTTCTGCAGTTTATTTATGGTTATATTTTCATAACCATGTAAACGAAATAAAACATTGCAGATTTTTCTGAGTGATGACCAACAGAGAGATTATTCTAATACTGAAATGTGTATTTTTTTCATGAACAAACTAAATTTAGCAGAATTTCATGTCTGAAATAAGCTTTTAATATAGTGTAGATATTAAAGACACCTAAACACCTGAATTTGTTTGTATCTTTCTTTACTGCACACCTCTGATCTGCACACGCTTCTCCAGCATGCACTTTCTCCTGTCTTCCACAGAAAGCTGCGTACTCTTGTAATTTAAAAATGAATGGTCATTTCGGTTTACTGACTGACTAACATTCGTTTATTGATCTCTTTATTGAATACTTACTTATAATATCTCTGGTATTGTTCGGTAATTTAGACCGGGAAAAAAAAAGTTTTGAAATTTTAAAAATCGCTACTTCATCGGAATGGTACGAAACTCGCTGACTTTTATGGAAGTCACTATGTGACCACAAAAAAAATTGTGGACTTGATTCGAAAAAGCTAAATGGACATAAAAACACTTCGCTGTTCGCGGTCAAAAAT